ACAATTATCCTAAAAAAAAAATTATGTGTCCCACTTCTCCCCACTCTCCCATATAAGGTAATAATAGTAAGTTTTATTATAGAATTTTGAGTGACCATAGAAATATTTATTAAAAATTATTAAAATTTGTTTTTAAACTTAGTATTGATTGAAAATTTACTTCAAACAACTTTGATGCTACGTAGTCTTATTCTGAACAACCATGAAGTTTTCGGTGTTTTCAGCTCCCGGTATTTTCAAAAACAAGATCTCCGGAGTCTATTTTTTAATTTTCGTTCTTAACTCGCGTCATAATATTTAGATTAATGTTTATTATTGAGATAGTTGCTTACTGTATGAAATCTGTAAAGTTACCTAACTTCAAAATAATTGAAATTTATTATTAAAGGCGATGATGGTTGTATTTATTGAGAGTCGTTAAATTATACTACTAGATTTTACTTTTTTTTTTCTGTTTAACCAAATATTATAATATACTTTTTGGCATATAATCTTGTAGATTTTGTATGATTCTTTATTATTGAATTTATTAATGCAAATTTATTAATCTTTATTAATGCAAAGATGTAAAAAAAGACATTTTCCCAATTATAAAAAATTATGATTCGGAAAATGTAAGGTCTGGTTTGTGAATGAATTGCTTGTATGAGAAATACGTGGAAAAAATTTATTTGTTTAAATATTCTTTTCTCTGGATAATGGAGAGGTATTTTTTATCAGAACAATAATATTCTGGACATAAACTGTGAGAATTGAATAAAGCTAAACACATTTTTTTTTTCTTTAGCCAATACCTTTTTTTAATCTCAACAAGGTGTTTATTTAAACAAAATGTGTGTTTTGCTTTATTCAGTTCTTTAATTAAGCACCTTGTTAAGACTAAAAAAAAAGCATTGGTTAAAGAAAAAAAAAAAATTTCTCATTACTAAAATAAAAAAATTTAAATGCTATTTTGCCTAATCCTTAATTAAGACTTAGACAAAATAGCATTTAAATTTTTTTATTTTAGTCATAAATGGTTTATATGATCATTCTAGGTTATGTTTTTACCAACTTCATTCTGAGATAGGTAGCACACATTTTTATTTATTAAATTAAATTTAAGTTGATGATCAGGTTTTTTGAGCCTAGGTTTCACAATTGTTGTATTTGTATTTAACTTGTACTTATAATTATTTTGTTTAAATTTAGTCAGTTACAGATGTTTTAAGACAGTTGCTAACACTTGTTAATTTATTGATATGTCAAGATAAAGAAGATTTATATTATCAAAGTTTTTGAGTCAACAAAGTTTTGTGGTTTTAGATAAATTAATTAAATTATAGGTTAAAAAACAATTACGGACTCAGCACAGCCTCCTAAAGGACTGTCCATTAATCAAATTTCAGAAACAACATTTCATGTTGATAACCGACTTCAGTTTCTTGAATTGGAGTTGCTTGAGTTAAGGCGAGTAAAACATGGTTTATCGACTTGCTCCAAAATTCTGCATAACTTGGTCTTAAACAAAAACAACATGCGAGGACATTATTATAAAATGCACAAACAATATTGTCAACTAGATATTTGCAAATTTAGTTTCTCTTACCGTGTTGTTAACATTTGGAATCAGTTGCCTTTTGATATTATTAATGCAGATAATATCAACATCTTTAAGAGTGAAATCAACTCAATCAATTTTGATAAGTTATGTCAATGTTGACTACATATCTTATTGTTTAGTTTTATATAACTTATTTATTCAATGTAGTACGCTGTTACTTAATTTATTTATTTTGGAGTACGCTGTTAGTGTCCATCAATATGGACCTGTGTGTCCTTTAGAACATGTATTATTTGTTCTAATAATTATAATCTAATATAATCTAACATTAAATTAATAAAACAACAATAAATTAAAAAAAAACTTAATATCTCAGGGTAAAATAAAAATAATTAATTTTTTAATTAATGAGACTTTAAGAATAGATTTTGAAGTTCGATAAAAAAAGGGCTATAAATTATTAATTGTTCTATGGTAACTATATATTGTTTATCTAATGATGGACTTACAATTTATATATGCAATTGATATGCAGTTGTTTCTGCAATTAATAATGGACTTGTGTTGTTTCTGCAACATATTGGGGGCTTGTGGTTTTTATGCAAAAAATAATTTTTGCATTATGGTAATAAAAATACAAAGAATTTGCATTAAATATTATTTTAATATGCAGTTATTAATAAATTCGACAATGTATCTTAATTAATTATTAAGTTATTAATAAATTCGACAATGTATCTTAAAGAGTAAAAAATGATCAAATTAGCTCTTAAGATTCATTTTCACATGTTGCTCATGGCAACATGTGAAATTTTCATTTTTCCGTAAAACTTCTTTGACCTTCGGATATAAACACATTTTAATGCATTCAATGAAAATAAAGTTGTTAGTTATATTTTTAGACTTGTATGCACCTTCTTTTGAAAATCTCTTAGCCATTAACTAAAATTAAACTATAACTTACTTGCAATCTTCTTGTTCACACTTGGCTGTTATCTTCCTTTCCAGTCAACATAAGCAAAACCCTTCAATTCAGCCTTTTTTTAAGTTTATTTCTTTTGAAATTAGAAGAGTTAAGTGGATTTTTTTTTATGAGGTAACAATTCTGTAGAAAAATCTTGCATAACATCTTGTAAAGGTAAATCAGAGCCCTAACCTTTGTTTTTTAATTCAACATTTGTTTGTTGTTCTTTCATAACCTCAACAGCAAAATAACAATAAACACTCAACTCTGACAGTTATAGAAAACTCTCAGCTGTTTCATGCAGAAACCTAACCAGTCCCAGACTTGTATTGTTTCTATAACAAATCCATGTTGATTTGAATAGCATGTATAAACAATGTGGACTTGTTTTGTCTTGCAAAAAATGATATATTTACATGCATAGAATTCAAAATCACAGTGAAAATGGCAAAAAATGTGACTTATTTTGTTTTTAAAATAAGTTATTACATTATATCAACAATTTTTTAGCAATTTTTTAAAAAAAATTCTTCAAAAATGTTACTTTTTTGAATCAACTTTTCTTGACCTCCCCCATCCCCCTTGTCAGCATATGTCAAAAAATTTTAAATCCTTTTCTCCCTATTTTGTTGACATGGTTTCTCCTATGGTGCTCCTAAGGAACACCAGCAGTATCATCTCAAATATTTCCTAAGGAACACCAACAGTATCATCTCAAATATTTCCTAAGGAACACCAACAATATCATCTCAAATATTTTAAAATATTTTACTAATAGATAAAAACCAATAAGTGTCTTTCCTCGTTGTTAAAATCTAACTCATGAGGAAAGGTTTGTACCAAGAATATTAGACTTATTTACAATTTCTTTTTAGGTTTTTGTAAAAATTCTATATCCACATTTTTTTTAAAGGTCTATAAAAATAACCAAATTGATGTCCACACTATTTATTAGAACTTTAAACTTTGAATTTATTAGAAAGTTGTAAACACTGTTGAATATAATCTCTTTTAGAATTAGTCATATTAGGTTAGCAAGGATGCAAAGTCCCCAAAATATCCTAAAATTTTAAAGCCACAAAATTATACTTTCTTTCTGGGTTTTTTTATCCAGATGTTCCAAAATTGCAAGGAGGCTCATGAATTACTTTTAGGAAAAAAAATTTAACTTAGAGAAACAATCAATCTTGACCCTAAAGTTCTTATGCATAATGGTGGCAAATGACTTCAGCACTTTGAGCTAAAAGAAAGTTCTAATTCATTAGATCTCATGAGTTTTCTTATTGCAGATCATAAATCACTCAAAATTTTTAGAGCTCCTTTTCAAGCTCCGGGACACATAAGACCATAAAGAAATAGTGATTTAAAAATGGAGTTCTTTTTGGGATTTTGCATCTATCACTCTGGATCTAGATCTTTAAAATAATAGTATAAGATTAAAGAAGATTAACAACTATATGTTTTTTAATTTCTACTTCAATGATACTACAAAGTAATGATACTACTTGACCCATAAGAAAAATGTCTTTTTTCTTAGATATATAATTATTTTTTTTATTTTTTTTTTTGTATTTTGTAGCTTGTATTAAAGAAAATTCATTTTTTATTGTTGTTGAATCCAAATCACTACAAAGATAAATAATAAATTTAAATTTAAACTATTATTTTTTGAAATTAGAAAACTCAGTAATTATTATTCACTAGTTTTTCTAACTTCAAAAAATACTATTATATATTAAATACTTTATTTAAATAACAAAAGTGTTTAAAATAATATCTAAATGCATTTAAAATAATATCTAAATGAAAAAAAATCCAATTGCAGGTATAGAAAACAATTTTTTTTATTCCCAATTTGACAGATGTATCTAACTAGTTTTTGTGTTTTTTTATTTTGCTTTTTTCTTCATTTTGTTTTGACGTAAGAACTTATATTTTTGCTTTTGTTGTTGTTGTTGTTGTTGTTGTTATTAACATGTTAGCAGAGCTTATTTCAATTAAAAAACATTTTCTTTCCTTTAAAAATATTACAAATAATACTCAATAGGATGAAACTAAATAATGTACAAGATAAATTGACAATGTAACAATGTATAAAAAAAAATTGATAATGTAAATGAAAATTATTTAGATTAAAGAAAGAAAAACATTTAAAGTTAATTTTATTGTATTTATCTTATCAAGTATTTTTAATTTTGTTTTAATTAGAAAAGTTAAGAAATAATTGGGGTTTTTTTTCTAAGTTTTTTTTCAAAATTTCAAAATTTTTTTTGTATTAATATTTTATAAACCAAATTCTATTGCGAATATAACTTGTATAAAGCTGATTTTCATTGCTGTTTAAAAAATCTGAACAGAATTTATACTTTTAGTTTTAAAGTAAAATGAGAAAATGAAATATTTAATATAATTATAAATTAAAACATTTTTCCTACTTTGTTTTATCCACTGTATTCTAAATTTTATAATTTCTTATAAAATTTAATATTATTTACTATATTATAGTTTTTAGAATTATACCAACAATAATAAACGAATGGCTACCCATATACCTTAAAAATGTCTAAACTGCGTATGGCTGTTTCACGTTTGTTAGCACTTGGTGGACTCACAGCTGTATCAGGAACATCATATGTTCTTTACAAATATTCATCACTTAATGAGAAAGTTGATTGCAGAGGTGCTGTATATGGAAAGAAAGATTTTGAGCCTGTGCTAAACTCACAAGTAAAATGGGATGATGATTGGGATTGCAGAAAAATACAGATTAAAAAAGATTTATTAAGTCTAGAGCCTCAAGAAATTACTCATTCACTAAAAAATGTTGATGAAAAACCTAAACCTACTGCTACAAGACATGTTCTATTAGTTAGACATGGTCAATATATAACAAAAGATTCAGATGAGGAAAGAATTTTAACTGATATTGGAAGGTAAAAATTTTGTTTCAGAAATTGGTATTTAAACTTCAATTAATATGTTTATTGCACAAAACTAAATAACTTTACTTATTATAGCAATAAATATCATGTTATCAAATATACTTATCATTAGGGTATCCATACCGAAATGGTAAATGAAAAATCAAAACCGATTTTTCAGTATTATAAAAATGTTGCACCAATTGTATTATTAATAATTAAACCGGTATTCAAAAAAAAATTATTATTTTGAAACAAAAGTTAAATAAATATAAATATCAAGAAGAATTTGCAAATTTATTGATCTATTTACAAAACTTTTATATCTTATTGAATGAAAGTACAATTTAAAAAAAATCCATCTATCAAACCATCAAATTAAAATTTATTAAGTTTATGTTTCTAGTATCAACTTTTTGACCTTTATGCAGATAGGAAATTAAATCAAACAACTCCATTCTTCATGCAATGAAATTTTAATGCAGTGAGATTTTCTTTGCTATGTGATGACTTAATTTCACTCAGCCTGTCAAACATAAATTTATTTACTTATAAACAATGGTTGAAAACTGATAGTTGCACCTTAAAAAAATAGTTAAAACCCTGATAAGTTTTGAGAAAAGTTAGCAAACAACTTAAATGAACTCATAAAACATCATTATGTTAGCAAATCACATAAAAAAAGTGCATGTAGGTTGTGTAAGTTGTAGGTTGTACTGCTAAATGAGTTATTAATAAACTCTCCATTCAAAAGCCAAGTGGATATTAACCTTTGAAGATTTTGACACCAGAGGACATATTTTGAGTTGCTAAAGATTGTTGTAAAAATATAAGGTATATAGCATTTTATTGTCTAAATTTATGTGCGTTAGATTTTTTTTTATCTTAATGACTTTTTAACTAAAAATATCGTTTGATTTTTGTAAAGAACATCATATACTGCTAAAATGAAGTCCATGGGCATAACACAGCTGATGTTCGATACCACTTAGCCATCCAAATTTTTTTATTACGAAGGCTCCTCCAGTGACAGTTGCTAGGATGTGCATTTTCATTCATAAATTGAAATCTGACCGATTCTTTTTTATTAGATTCACAAGTTTATCTGCAGGAAGTCATCCAGTTATTGGAGTCAATCCCAAATTCCAAAACATTGTTGATAAGTGTAAATTTATATATTTGTATATTTGTCTAACGTTATAGAAAATCGTGACACACCAGATATTTCTTTTGTTATTTCCAAAATCACACTTCATTTGAATAAATCATATTGTTTTTTTATCATATTCATAACATGGATGGATTTTTGGGTTAATACCATGTCTTTTTCTGACAATGTTTTTTTAATGAATTTACTTTTTGTTGTTTTGGAGAAGCAGACCACCATTGCTAGCTTTGACACAAATTCTTCAATAGCCTGCTGTTTAACATGTTATAATATTTTTTTTTTTGCACATTTCCTATTTCTGATCAGTGTCTTCATATGGGCGCTTTATATTTAAATCCATTTCTTTGTGTGTTTTTTTTAATGATGAAGGAACTTGCTTATAGAAAATCCTTTGTACATTATTTTTACACCACACTTTTTGCAAGTGACAGATTTGCCAGATCTTTCTTTACAAAAATATTGCCATGCTTTAGAACCACTTACTATTGACATAGTTATTATGAATCCTAAAATAACTAAATGAATAATAAGTTAGATATAACACATTACCAACAAGAAATACAAGTTTGAATAAATTCTAAAATAGTATAAGTTTATACACCCTTGGTTACAGTTTTTTTTTTTTAATTATCTTTGCTTCCAACAAGGCTGCAAGCAATCACTAATTAGTGTTGGAAGTTACTGGAAGAGAAAAGATGAAGATTGTTGAGCAAGATAACCATTGACAGACGACTTAAAAGGTTGCAAATTATATGAATCAGGAAAGCAAGATGAAGGAAGCGAATTCCAAAGAACTGATGTTCGAGAAAAAAAACTAGACGCATAAGAGTTTTTGGAGCACTTAGGAACAGTAACAAAAAAAGGATGAGACTTAATTGAATGATGAGTAACACGAGAATGAATTTTAGTAGATGGCACAAGAGACGCTAGCTCTTTCGAGCAGTGCCCATTATAGTATTTGTAGAAAAGAGAAAGAGAAGCAACATTACCACAATGTGACAGAGGTTGAAGGTTGGCTGCAAGAGCAGGTCCAACTATGTTTACAATGCGTTTTTGCACCTTGTCTAAAAGAGAAAGGGCATCATTAGAAGATCCGCCCCAGATATGGCAACAGTATTCCATACAAGGCCGGATTTGAGATTTATAGAGATAGAGAATAGAATCCAGAGTAAGAAAGTGATGAGCTCGATAAAGAGAAGCAACTTTAGCAGATGCTAATTTTGCAACGGATTTGATATAAGGTTTCCAAGAAAGATCAGAAGTAAGAGTTAATCCTAGAAGATGAAGGGTAGGAGACTCATCGAGTACATTACCGTTCATAAATATAGGAAGGTCTAAACTATTGCGATAACGATTGGCCGAAAAAAAGTTTTATCTGAATTAAAGTTCACCAGCCACTGTGAGCCCCATGCTGTAGCAGAAGTGAGATCCTTTTCAAGCTCAGATGCCCCCTGCAAGCAATCAGAGGGAGTTGGCTTCTTATCATGACAAGAATAAATGGTAGTGTCATCAGCGAACAATGCCACTTTAGATGTGAGAATATCTGGAAGATTATTAATGTAAATTAAAAAGAGTATAGGGCCAAGGATTGAACCTTGAGGAACCCCTGAGGTTACAGAATAAGAAAAATAGTGCTTTCCATCAAGGACAACTTTTATACTACGATTGGAAAGGAAGGATTCAATAATCTTAAAGATGTTTCCAGATACACAGTAAGAAGAAAGCTTATGGAGAAGACCAGCATGCCAAACTTTATCAAACGCTTTAGAAATGTCAAGAGCAATGGCTTTAACCTCTCCACCTTTATCTAATGCGCGATAAAACCTATCGGTTATTACTGATAGCAAATCAGCTGTAGAACGAGAAGATCGAAATCCATATTGATGATCAGAAAGTAGGTTATGAGAATTGAGATGAGAGATTAGGTGTTTGTTAATTAAAGATTCAAAAAGCTTGCTTATGATAGGAAGAAGACTAATGGGGCGGTAGTTAGACGAATCGGATCGCTCTCCAGAATTTTTAAAAATAGGGACAACAGATGCTGTTTTCCAGCAGGCTGGAAAACAAGACTCTGATAAGCACTTGTTAAATAGTTTTGAAAGGATAGACGACAGCTCCGGAGAACACTTCTGCAAGACTATAACAGGTATGTTGTCCAGGCCGCAAGCTGTAGAAGAGTCTAGGCGCGAAATCACTTTAGATACAGAAGCTGGAGTGATACGAATGTCGAGCAATGGATCAACCTGTTTGACGGCTATATCAGGTAACTAGTGGCATCAAGTGATGATATTGATGAAAAGTTCTTGGCAAACAATTCAGCTTTGTCTTTAGGTGAGGTGACAAAGTCTGAGCCATACAAAAGAGGTGGAATTACAGACTTGCCCTTATTATTGATACTATTAAAGATTCTCCAGAAGTTCTATTAATACATAACTATTAATACATACAGTTCTATTAATACATACAGTTATTATACAATACAAAAATTCTATTAATACATATTCTAAAATGTTGAATTTTACAATTATTTGAAACTATGAAAACTAAAGGAAACCTACGGCTTTCCTCGTTAAATACGGCTTTCCTCGTTACAAATCAAGAAACATTTTTTTACTCTTATTTTATAATAACAAGATAGAATAATTTTTAAATTTAAAATATATTTTATATACTTGACAACGATTACTTTTTATATATATATTATATATTGTTTATTATTTATTGGTTGTATTGTTTTTATACAAACATAATTTTTGTTTTTATTTAAACAATGTGAACTTTGTTCTAGTTTTGTATATTTATTACAATGACTTTTATTTCTTATTAAAATGATGTTTAAATGTTTAATTTTGGTAAGCGACAATATTTATTTGGGATGTTTGACAGACTTAACAAGATTTTGTTGAAATTATTAATAGTTGATTTAAATATTAATTGTTGATTTAATTTGGTAAATTTGGGTATGTAATAATTAGATAATCTTGTAATATTTTGCAATTTGATAGCTTCTGCAAAATTTTAGTAACTTCATGCCTCTTTGAACCTATTAAAAAATGAAGAAAATATTTGAAGATATATTAAATAAAATTGGATATAAATGTTTTAATTTTGTTATAGCTAAAAGCATAAAAAACTAGTTGAGTGTGGTTTTTGTGTTGCAAATAGGGATACTGCAAATCTATGCCATTTAAAAAAAAACGTCTGAAAAAAAAAGTAACAATTATTGTAAATAAACATTGTGTAAGTTATTTTACAATAACTCAAAAATAACTACATAATGTCAATCTTGAGCAGGTTCTATAATAACAGGTTTGCAACTTGTTACTTTTTAATAAACTGGTAATTGTAAATCAAAGCTAAAAAAAAATTTTGTAAGTTTTAAATATTAACAAAAAAAAAAACTACAACATATTTTGTGTTGATGAGGAATTTAATTACTAACAGTAACAGAAACATCAACAACAACAACATTAATTATAAATTTTTGTGATATTTTTATAATATATTTATAAGAAATGTATATTTCTAAGAATATATTTATGATATATTATAAGAATTTAATGTGTTCATTTTTAGACAACAAGCTGCTGCAACAGGGGTCAGGTTGAAGTCTTTAAATATTTCATTTAACAAAATAACTGTTTCGACAATGACACGTGCAAAGGAAACTGGAGTTATAATTAGCGATCAGATGCCAGAAGTTCCAATTGAGTATTGCTCTTTAATAAGAGAAGGTGCACCATATCCTCCAGAACCACCATCGAAATCTTGGAATCCAGAGCGTTGGGTAGTATGTTGTATATTTCTGTTTATTAAGAATTTATATGCTCATGTATATATATATATGTGTGTGTATATATATATATATATATATATATATATATATATATATATATATATGTATATATATATATATATATATATATATATATATATATATATATATATATATATATATATATATATATATATATATGTATATATAGATATACAGTAATGGACAAAACAAGTACAACCAAATTTAGTTTCTTTATATAAAAGTGTTGCATTTTTTCAATTTAGAGAATCAACTATCAGGCTTGGTCGGGAAGCGGGAGCGATCGCTCTCAATTGCTGACCACGTTAAAAATATTTAGTTGCGAAAAGCTGGCCAAATTTTTTAGTCGTTTTGAGAACATTTTTAAAAGCAAAAAAAAAAAAGCGATCAATATTAATTGGACTGATGAGAGACAATTACAAAAAAAAAAAAATTAAAGCTAAATAATTTACATTTAGAACAAATATTTTCGAAACATCGCTCTTTTATAACTTTTTTATAAAATTAAGCGATGTTTTTTATATAAAGTAACAACTTATGATTGTTTAAAAAGGAAACAAATATTCTTTATTAACAAAGTTTGCAAGTTTTAGTTTTATTTAAGCTAAATTATTTTATAAATAAAAAAGTTTATTTTTTACCTATTTTACCTATAATACCTATTTTATGTTTCGCGTAGTTTGAAAAATTTAACATATTTGAAGCAATTCTTCTGAGTAAGATAAACAAATGAAATAGTTAAATCATTGAATTACTATAGAAATTAAATTAACAAAATAGAAATCAACTAAAAAGATTAAAAATACTTAATGACGAGGAAGCGAAACTGCTTCACAATATCGCTGATGATGTTTAGTGAGTGGGCTTTTTAATTTTAATTAGTATTCAAAGCAGAAAAAAGTATAACGAGTTTTAAGAATGGCAACTTAAGCGAAAATAATGAGTCAGTAAACCAATATCTAGAAACTTTTCTTTGTATCTAGTTATTTGCTATAAATTGTTTGTGTTTAGTAACCAGAAACTTCTTATATGTTTGTTACATAATTAATTTTATTAATTTGGACGATTATAACTTCATTGAAAACGCAAATATTTGTGTAAGTCTTTGTTTAAATCATAATAATTGCTTTAAAAGATACATTACGATAAAAAACAGATACACACAATTACATTTACATAAAGAATACATACTTTTTAAATAAAAAAATAAGAATATACTAATAAAATCTATAATTTATAATAAACTTTTAAAATTTTGACAATTTAATTAATATATATTTAAAACATTTATTTTTGTAAACAAATAATATATATTCTTAAAACAATTTATGCTAGAAATCTCAAAACGTAACAAATTGTGAATAATACAATTTCTAAAACATTTCAACAGAATATTTTAAAACTTTATTTCGCTTAGTCAGCGTATTTTTTGAACTAATAAAATTAGTTTGTTCGTTAATTTGGCGGGTTTTTAGTGTTCGCGAATATTCTTTTTATTCTTTCGCACCAAGATATTTTGAGAACATTCAAGTTGTTTATGTTTCCATGTATGTCTGTAAAACAAAAATTTTTTGTTTCATACATAAACTTAAAGGTTCTTAAAACGACTAAAAAACCTGGCCAGTTTTTCGCAACTAAATATAATTTCCATGGTCAGTATTCGAGAGTGATCGCTCCCGCTTCCCGACCAAGCCTGAACTATGTAACTGTTTAGAGACAACGTTCTTCTAGTTTTATTCATCACAAAGTATATATATATATATATATATATATATATATATATATATATATATATATATATATATATATATATATATATATATATATATATATATATATATATATATATATATATATATATATATATATATATTAGGGATATGACTTTTTTAACTTTTTATACAATGTGGACAACCCTATATTATTTTTGGATGAGTTTTTGCTATAAAACAATGAAGAAATGTTTATTTTCCTTCAAGTATAAAAAAATGTCACACCCCTTGGCTGAAATGTTTTTTAATACAATATAGATAGGAATATAATATACTATACATATTACATATGGGCCAGAAAACATAAGTTAAAGAAGTCATAACCCTCTATATATATTTTATATTATATTATTATATTATATATAATAAAATATATATAGATGTTAATATATATTATATATATAATTTTAAATACATACCAGACGTATGCATTACCACTTTATAATTTCTAGTTTTTCACTGCCGTGCCTAATTGTTTATTAATTAGTTTCAGATTTTTTTGTGCTGCTTTTAATTAAAATGGCATACAAATACTGCCAATCAAGTGTTGAAAAAAATAAAGAGACATAAAAAAAATCTTGTGAAATTTCAAGATTCGCATCAAAGTAGACAGTTTCCAATGTTAGAAACATCTTTTCAAGAATATTCCAAAATGCCATTAAAAAGTGATATTGTTAGCAGGTTTAAGTATTTGTCTATACTGATGTGAAAGCCAAAAAGCAAAGGATAGATCTTATTTCAGAAGAAGTTATAAGTTTGTGGAAAGAACAATTAAATTTCCCATGTCTGACAGAGCAGTCAGTGAAGCGAAAGATTAATGATGTTATATAAAAATATGAAAGTCTCAGAAAAAAAGCGAATGCCGACCTTCTGCAAAAAGAGATTTTTGATATAACAAATCAAAATGGCATTTGGTTATCATCTGAAGATAAAAGATTTTATGAAATTCAGTTACAAAGCAAAGGAGAAATTGGATATGCTACTTCAAAGCTGGCAGGAAAGAAGACTATTCATCCATCAATTGTGCAAAAACTTTCCAGCCAACCTTCAGCATCTAAAAGTTTTTCTTCATTTACTGAAAGTAGTAAAATAGAAAGAGAGAACTCTAGTTCTGAATTTGAAGAAACTGATGAACAATTTGAGATAGATAATGAAATTACAGATGAAGAATATAATAATTTGAAGAAAAGGCGTAAAAAATATAGTAGTTGTAAAATAGCAACAAAGTTAGTGGTTTGTGCTAAGGTATCAACTAAGAAAGCTTCTAAAATAGGTAAAATACTGTCCTCAGAAGGCATACATGTTCCAGCGCCATCACAGTCTGGAATATACAAGGCTCTTTTTAATGAAGCAAAACAATTTAAAGAAACTTTAATTCAAGATTTAAAGAATGAGAATTGGAGTCTACACTTCGATGGAAAGCATATAGATCAATGGGAGTATCAGGTTGTCAATCTTAAAAATGAAAGAAGCGAAATAAAGTTGGGCGCACTGAAGTTAATAGATGTAAGATCTATCACTATTATTAATGCCATAGCTGATATTATAGATCAATTTAAACTATGGAATTCAATTAAAATGATTGTGACAGATACTACAATTGTCAATACCGGAAAGAAAAATGGTGTTGTAAAACTTCAGGACATTTTTCAAAAAAAAGGATTACAAAAACCTCAATTTGTACCATGTCAACATCATATCTTGGATAGAATACTTAGACTAGAAATGGAAGAAAAATTGGGAGAAAATCCGAACTCACCAAACATTAATTACTTTTTTACTAACGAGTTGTTAGAACATTATGAAACACTGAAAAAAAATTTTTATAATGGTACAGAAGAAATAAAAGACACAGGAGGATGGCGAGATGACATGAAGTTTCTGTTTCATCTGACAAGAACCTACCGTTACTATGACCAAAATAAAATATTTCCTAATGTAAGATTTCAAAAAATCCCTAATATCAGTAATGCTCGGTGGAGTTCAAGATCTATTTTAGCGTTGTTAGCCTATATTCTTATGCCAAAAACAAGAAACAAACTTGAATCTGTATGTACCTTTTTTTCTTACAAGTGGGCAGACTTTTGATTTGACGACCAAACCTATAAAGAAAACACTTATTCAGACCTTCATGAAGTTTTATTAAACAAAAAGAAACCTCTTGCTACATTTACAAGTCATTGGAATCCAGAACCATCAGCAATCAACATTCCCAGAAGTAATCAATGTGCTGAAAAAGCAATTAAAGTAATGGAGGAGCTTTATAGAGTGCAGAAATAAAGACAATCTTCCACTTCGTTTCATATATATATATATATATATATATATATATATATATATATATATATATATATATATATATACATATATATATATATATATATATATGTATATATATATATATATATATATATATATATATATATATATGTGTATATATATATGTATATATATATATGTGTATATATATGTATATATATATATATATATATATATAATATATATATATATGTATATATATATATATATATATATATATATATATATATATACATATATATATATATATATATATATATATATATATATATATATATATATATATCTGCAGCTGTTTTTCAAAACACCTTAAGATCCTTAATACATATTCAAGAAAAATACAATTAAAAAAGTTATTAGGAGAAACTCTTTGTAAAACGTTTTTTGAAACTAATAATTTTTATGAATTTTTTCAGAGCTCTTTGAAAATATGTATTCAATAATGTTTGTAGACAGCTAAACTAGCTTATTTTGTAAAAAAGTCAAAATTGATTATTTTACCTAAAATGTTTTGAAAATGGCTGCAGTTATGTTAAATGAAAACCGGTTTTAAAATGCAAAAGTAAAAATTTCTATGAATACATAAGAAAACTTTTTTTTGTTTATCCTTGATTCTTGATTAATTGTTATAATATTAGGCCACTGCCTAGAGGATGTTTTTCTCAAGCCAACAAAGAGTTGTTAGTTCTAATGTTAATAATATGAAAGAATCACTTTTAGTTTTCTTTAAGTTATATTTGTTTTGGGAAATAATATTGAATAATCACATTTTATTGAACTTATAGCCATTTAAATCATTTTTAAATCAATGTGACTTATACCCATAAGTGCTGCTCATATGCTAAATCTTTTAGCAAATGATATTAATATTAAAAATGTGAGCAAGCATGTTACACAGATAATAAAATATATACAATGTAGTCATCAAGCTGGAGAAAATTATAGAGAAAGTGGAGAAACAAAATCTAACCACTTCCTACTGAAATACCCTGGAAATCTGTATGTGATTCACTTGAAAAGTATGTCAATAACTGGAGCATCATTTTCACAATGTTTGAAAAAAATAGAGACTTGTATCCCACGATTGGTATAAAAGTAAGTGACATACAGTTAAAGCGAAATGTGATATATTTGTTGAAAATGTTAAAACCAATTGGAGTAGCTCTATGAGTTGCAAAGGGTTCAAACAAAAATAAGTAACACTGTTGAAATTTTTAAAGAGTTGATAAACATGTTACTATTTAAACATGTTATCAACTGAAAGAAAAAAATTGGAAACTAGATATTTTCAGACTTTCAGTGCTCATTTCCTTGCAAACACACTAGATCCTGGATATTTCGGATCTTTCTGATTAGTAAAATGAAAATGAAGCTGCAATTACTTTTGCAGATAAAGAATTAAGAACTTGTTACCAATTATATTCAAGTTGAAAGCCAAATCTGCGCCATTCGATAAAAGCTATTTGTTATCACGGAAATCTTTTGGCCCGCAACTTTATGAGTATTGAAGATTTTTTAAATACATCAGCTTCTAGTGCTGGAATTGAAAGAATTGGTCGACTATTGGGGTTTTTCATTCCAAGTTAAGAAACAAGATAAGAGTAGAGCAGCCAAGTTTGTTTTTATATACAGAACATTAAATAATAATGTATTAGTTGTTGAATTACACAGTAATGTTAATAGAAATATAATTTACTCGAGTAAGTTGACTAATGTTTTTTTTAATTGAAAAAGTTGACTTAACATGGCTTTTTTTTAAAAAAAAGGAGTTTAAACCCAAATAACCATGGTTTTTTTTGTTTTTTCTAAAAAAACTCTTGGTTTTTGTTTTTGTTTTAAAAAAAATAGTTTTTTTTCAACCCTGGTTGTTGTGCTAAATTCAATTCATTTTTGATTTTCAAATATCTGTTTAATTGACTTAAAGGTGTATTAGCTCCATGAGTTTTTTTCTTTTAAATTTAATCACAGTTTTAGAATACAAAAGATCGGCATCTCCTTTTGGAATAGTATTAATGAATAGTTTTAGTGGTTTTAAAGCAACACAAAGTTCATTTATGATATCAAGCTTATTTTTAGTTAGAGGATAATCAAAGTTCATACCAATCAAAACTATTTTTACTTCTGTTTGCACCTCCAAAGAATGTTCAAGCATATCAACAGTACTGCTCAAAAAATGTTCAAACATATTAATGTACTGCTCTAACTTGTCCTTTAATCACAAATCAAAGCTTTTTTTTTTCTAAATTTTTCAATTAAATTTGGTTGAAATTCAACATTGCTCACTGGTGATCTACGAAATTTTTCAATTAATTTTCTTATTTTTGCCACAGTTTTTTGAGATTCAAGTTTCAATCATAGAATTCTTTCAAAATGAAATCCTTCATTATGATTTAGTTTTAAGTTTATATATCTTCCGTTTTTTACTGAAGTATACTCAACAAATGTAAGACTAAATTTACGTTTATCTTCAAGTTTCATTTTTAAAATACTTATAACTTGTTTCTTGACTAACCTGAAGTATTTAATGACAAGATCGCGAACGGTTTGAGAACTTCAAGGGATTTGGTAAACCTGGATATGAAATGCTGATTGCAAAGTTTCACTTTTAGCAATGGTGTGAAAGCTGATTCCATCAATAGAGATAGTCAACTCAAAATTTCAGGTAGAGTTTTATGGTCATCCTTGGAAAAACTTTTAATTTCTAGCATTTTGGCAGCAGAAATGTTTGCTGCCTTGCCTCAGGCTCAGAGTTATTGCATTTAAGAATTTCAACTTTGTATTTTTTTTTTTGAATCCCTTTTAACAGCTGTTGTTGTTGAGCCAGATGTTTCGAAAATAATTTTACAGAGTTTACACTTTAAACTCTGTGTGTTTCTTTGGAAATTTCTTCGGAAAATTCGAAATTCTTTAGTTGTGCTTAAATCTTTAAACTAATTCACATTTTTTATTTTGTACAACTAAAACTTTTATTAGTTTGTCTAAGCTATACTTCATAT